GGTGAGGTCTTTCAAATTTAAATTGTCCACAATTATTTTGTGAACTCAACTACATCTGATTACAAAATTTAACTATTACAAGCTATAAAGTATTTTCTTTATTTAAAGAAAACTATTAAAGAAGAAATATTCTTTGTTTAATAATGATCAATTTTCACCTACATTGATAATTCCATAAAAGCAAACAAAAATAATTTCAGTAATGAATGGATCACTTCATTGAGGACTATCAAAGCACAGTATGTGGGTATTGAACAGGAGTTAAATTGAAAGGAAGTCTGTACATATCCAACTAAGAAATCTTCTACTGTACCAAAGGTTGCAACAAGATTTCATATCTTAAAGCAAAATTGCTAAATGTCATCAAATCTACGGAAGCAATTATCCAATACTTTTCCTTTTTCCCCAAGAGAAAAATATACAAATTTCAGTCTACCCAATTTCAATACTGTGAAAAGAAGTTGCATCAACTCTTCCAAGCATTATCAAATACCTTTAATACACTGTGCCTTAAAATAGAATGTGGGATCAGGTCTGCAGGTCTCCTAGTGTCAAATTCCTAATATTGACTCTGGCATTGGGTGAAATGTAAACTGTTGACTGTCTACTGTATTGGGAAAGCATTCTATCCTTATCATTCATAGCAGTCAGCTGTTGAACAATAGTAGCACGTAGCTTCTCACTTTTGAGAGGTTGGAAAGAAGAATATAATCAAGAATGAAGAGTACAAAACAATTATCGATCTATGGTGGGCTGTAATGACTCATTTGATGACACAATGTATGTATATTTTTGGACCGGGGTGGGAGGGGTTAATCCTATATCAGTTTCTAAATTAAAACTAACACCATGAGTCTTTTGACACTGATCCTAAAACTCGGAATGGGGAGGAATGAAGCAAGAGGAAAAAAACGAGTCAACAGAAAGTTTGAGAGACTAATGCAAGTAATTTGTATAGTATTGTGTTGCAATATTCAACTTGTATTGTCAGAATTTTAATCGACAATTAATTATTCACAATAAATTTCCAGCACTAATTAATGTAACATGAGTAAAGTTTCAATAATTTGCATTTTGCTTAAAAATGGATACATAGACATTAACCTAGTGGTGTCTTGCTGTCCATGACTGCCCTTGACAATATGCATTAAAACATTTGACTGAGAAGTCATTAGTTTTGTTTAAATATCCCACATATTACCAATTTCATTTAGTTCAATATTCACAAGTTCAGAAGGGACAAATCCAGTTTACCAAACACATCTCATTGAATATCCCCTTTTACAAACAGTTCTAGATCAGAGAATGATTTTCATCCATAGAAGGTTGGAAACAACTTCCCCTCCAAATAAGTTTTCATCATATTAACAAAAAGTGGAAGAGGAATTCACGACTCAGGATCAAAACACTGATTGTACACAACATCAGCTACTAAACATCAACATTTTTCAGTGCACAAGAATTAACTATCATGAGTTTAAAACCTGGCCTCTGACAATGGGATTGCAATTTATTTTTACTTTGCTTGGAAATCAGGTTTCAAGTATACAGCATGTGCTGCTAAATAAAAAGAAAAAGAATGTTGGCAATTATTTCATCAGTCCATCTTTGCATCCCAAAAGTTCATTTAGACTCAGATGGTGGATATTATTACAGATCTCATGCATGACTATCATAGATTCCAACTTTAAAAGTAGCTCTAACCTCCTTTGAAAAAGTGAAATGTAGCTAGATTTTTAAAAATTGGGTTTTATGGTCCAAAATTTCAATACAGGTTATATCGAACAGTCAATGCCACTAGTTAAAAGCAGGAACAGTTAATCAAGCAGCTACATACAAAAAAAAAGTGAAATCTCTTTCTTTACCCTTCCCCCAAATCATCTCGGAGTGCAGCTGCTTTGGAATCCTTTGTGCAAATGTTTGATGGATGATACAGCACAAGCAATGCAGCTCTTGCTTCATAAACAGGTCACAGTTTCAACATTGAAGATTATTCATCTCTTGACTTGGTTCAGCAGTAAAAGATGGCGAGAATGTAAGGGAAAAATCTTTCTGGATGAGTGTTGCACATTATAAAAGTAGCAAAAACCTAGGAATAAACTGGTTTCCTGTACACTTAGCCAGGGTAAAACGAAAGGTTGCACAGGGTTATCTAAAAGACAGGAAATGGAAAAAGCATTTTAAATAAGAAGAATAGTACATGGGTTGGGGCGGGGGGGGCGCGGTGGTGGATTAATTACAGCAGAAACATTTTCCCTTGAAGCAGGAAATATAATTTACCAAATAACCTATTTTTCAACATTTTATTCAAAGGGGACAAGAATAACCACAGACACATTAACAAGGCTACTTTCTGGCAAAAACATAAATACATTTGATACAAGAAATGTAATTACAACACTAACTTCATTTTAATGTTTGATTAACATTTATAGAGATCTTGCAGTTTCTTCTAAGATTATGCTAAGTTAACCATAATGACAAACTGGGTGACAGACCTCAATTTTCTTCCAACTCTTTATTGTGTTATTAGAAAAAAATATTTGTGACTATTTCTTCACAACAATGGACCGCGTTACCTGGAGTATTGTGTCATCAAATATCTTAATTCCTAAGTGCAAAATAAGCTTCGGCAGCAGAATTACAAAATGATAAAATGGATTTTCAGTTGAAGTGCAAATACTGCTAAATCACACTGGAGACACATGGACTGGCAATAAATTTCTTCAGTAGAATTTGAACGTCATAAGGATTCCATGGAAGTACCTTAGGATTTACAAAATGTCAGAAGTTAGCAGTCACTTTTCATTCTACTCAAAAGATACTACAAATGGCTACTATTATTGTTACACATGCACCGTGGATCTGGAGGATAAAAAAAAAATTCACCTTATGGTGTCCCTTTGGTCCTCCATTTAAAATTTAGCTCTATACCTCTAAAATTGCTCTGGACAGATGAAGTGTATAAACCTCACCATTGGAGAGGTATCAAAATAGCCATTATTCTAAAGATTTTTCCTTGCCTGAATTTCTACACGGTAAAATGCTAATCTTAGCTAAGTTAATTGGGGGAAGATGTCAGAGGGAGCTGAAAAGCTTTCCCAGAGAATAAGTAAAAACAGAAGTCAGGAAGTGTTTGTGTTTGATAGAGGTGTTCAAAATCATGAAGGATCGGGAGAAAGTAGTCCCCATGTCAACAGGATAGAAAACCAGAGGACACCTACGTAATTGAAAAAAAGTAGTAACAGCAAGATGGCGAAAAACATTTTTACGCAGTGAGTTGTTAGGATCTGGAATTCACTGTCTGAGAATGTGGAGGAGGCAGATTCAAACAAATTCAAATTATGGCTTTCATTACGGAATTGAATAATTATTTAAGAAAGAAAATTGCAGAGACAGGATGAAAAGGTTGAGAATTACAACTAGGTGAGTTGCACCCGCAGAGAGCTGGCATGGAAACGATGGGCTGATTGGTTATGGTATAAAGGAGACCATTCTATGATTACTACTTGAGGCCAATTGTAGAGCAGTATTTTCAGCTTTTAAAACCTGACTACTCTCCTGGTCAGGACATTATCAAGGGATTGAAGACATTATCAAGGGATTGAAGACATTA